AAAAATTTAATTTTTTTTTTTTTTTTTTTTTTTTTTTTACTATCAGGGATCAAACTCGGGACCTTGTGCTTGTGAGGCAAGCAGAACCAGTAAACCCCCGGCCCAGGAAAGCCTAATTATTAACAAGCATTTTTAATTGTGCAAAATAGCAAAAATTTTAAGTATGTGTGATGTTCAGAACTGTTGAGGATGAAGTAGTAGATTTTTAAAGATAGTGATGGTTGTTTTAACTGATATGGTCTTTAATGAGCAAAGTTTGGCAAAGTCTTATTAAAATTTAAAATGCTTATAGTTTTGTCACAGAAAATGACCTATTTCATATCTATTTTACGTAGGTCTCTACGTACATGTTTTGTATTGGTCATGCTGCAGAAAATTTTCAAGTCACTAAGAAAAGCTTAGGAAAACATGTTCTGGATGAGGTCCCTAAACCATATTTATAAATATAATTTTCATTGTTATAGTCATTTTACAGAGTATTTAAAACCAGTACTGTGGTCTGATTTTTTTCTCTAACTTCCCAAGAAAAAGGAATGAAGCTTTGGCTAGATTGCCTTACATTTTGTGGTTACTATTTTGAGCTGCATTAAAACCTTTTGCCAGAGGAGGAAGTTGCTGGTTTTCAGAAAGCTTCATATTTTAGCTGAAAGGCACTTTGAAGTAATGCTGAAACATTTATAGTTTTAGACATATTTAATTAACTGTTCTATACTTTCTTTAATCTTGAAATTCCACCTCCAAGCATCTAATAATTTAGAGAAATACTTCTATGTAGGGAATTGCAAAAAAGATGTCGAGTATGGCATTGTTTTTAAAAGTGCAAAATTTGGAAGCAGCAATTTATTATGTTCATGTTATAGAATGCTATGTAGCAGTTAAAAAGCATGGGGTAGATGTACATATAAACCAATATGGAAACATTTCCAAGATATATTGTCAATGAAATGGGAAAGTTATATAAAAAAGATACTGTGCAAATTCCATTTTAATGAAAAAAAGCAAAATTTTAAAAAAAGCACCCTAGAAATACATACATAAAATTACTTTGTGGAATGAGAACCAGAAATAGTAACCAGTTTAAAAAAAAGTTTCATTTATAGCAAGGTTGGGTTTCCCCTTTTCATTGGTTTCTTTCTTGTTAATTAAAAAAACAAATGCTTTTATAAGGGAGTTAGTTTATATTACACCTGAAAAAAAGGGGAATTTTTGAAAAATATTAATATTTAATTTTCTCAATGTGCATACATATTGATTTATATCATCATGCTTTATAAGTACACATGAATAGTCTTCTAACAGTATTTATGTAATTGATATAAATGTTTATGAATTTGAAAGGTAGTTTATTTTTCATTTAAATGTACTTCAAGAAAGGGCATAGTCTAAGAATCAATTTTAGAGAAGACGTTCCCAATTAACAAATTTAGTAAGTTTTCATTATGAAAATTCCCAGAGGCAAGCTCTAGCATATAATGTTGTAAAAAAGTAATGAGAAAGTAGTATCGCCCACAGACTGAATCAATGGAAAAGTAAACTTCACTGTCTAACATATATAATGTTTCTGTCCTAAGTAAAAGAGAGGAAAAAAAGGTAACTAGAGGTATCTTTTGTGCTTTTCAAATTGTACAGTGTAAATATATGTGATAATGACTATGAAATGTATACAAATAGTAAGAATTATTTCTTGTCTCTTAACATTTACCTATCAATCATACTATGATACATAAACAATTTGACAAAAGTTAGCAAGATAGTTTCCTCTCCTTTTTGTTCTTTGTTAGGAAAACTCATATATATTGGGAAAGTCTGACCTCAGTGTGGGTCACGGAGTACATAAAACCATGACCTCTGTGCCTCTGTGAGTTATGTGTACACTGTGGTCGCCAGGCCTGGTCCTGTACCATTTTGCTGAAGTTTCCCCTTCGGTGGAACTCTAACAGGGCAGGCCTGTTACAGTCAGCAGAAACAATTTATTCCGGCTTAAGCAGAATGACAATGTAAGGTAAGTTAGGAATTTTACCCAAGTTCACGGAGTTAAAGGATGTGATTTTTCTATCATCACCAGTAGGTACAATTCCTGAATCACTTGATCTTTTTTTTTTTTTCTATAAGGAGAAAACCTGAAATGATTCTGGTCCTCACTGTACGTGATTACCATACTACTTGTTTCAGCAGTGAACGATGCAAGAAGAAATAACATACTTTTGTACTGTTGTTCTCATTGAAACTCCAGTACTCCGGTTTTCTGTAACATTCAAATAAGCTCCAGCAGAGAAGAAAAAGCTCAAACCAGTCACCAGATCCAAAATTAGCATTTTATTCAGAACGCCGGGGTCAGAGGTGTATCGTTTATATTCTGGTACACAATACAGAGGCAAAGCTGTTGTCAGAATTCTCTCCACTTTAAAAGCTTTTTTTTTTTTTTTTTTTTTTTTTTTTTTTTTTTTTTTTAAAAACACAGTAGTGTCACCAGTGTCAGGCCACCCCTTTCTTTTCCTTTCCTTTTTTTGTTTTTTGGTACAAATTATGTAAAACATTTGTGCTAAGAACTTTTCTCCCTCCCCCAAACAAAAAGAAAATTAAAATTAAAAAAAATTTAAAAATTAAAAATTGAGTATTCTAACTACAGCTCAACCATTGAATCAAATGTCACTTTGTTTTGTAAATACTTTTATCCATAACGAAAGATATAAACATGCAAAAAACCTGAATCCATAGTCCAAATAATACATACACATGTTCTGAAGTTTCTGCACTTCTCCATAGACTATGCCAATAAAACATTATGTACACATACCATTTTTACAGTGAAGTGAAAAAAATACAGTAAATAAAAAAGTGTTCATGGATTAAGACCAAATGTGTCTAACATTCTAGTTTATGAAAAAATTCAATTTTGCTACAAATTGGTGATATGAAAACTCCCTTTATTTGCAACCAGCTGCGTAAGTTTTAAGATTTTAGTGAAAAAAAAAAAAAAGCTAAAGTCTAAAACTAGAAGTAATGTACATTTTCCAATCTCATGGTCTCATCCCCCAAGATAATAAAATCGCTCCATGAGTTCTTTTTCGTTTCTTTGTTTAATTCTGTATTTTAACAAAAGCAAATGCAATGTAACAAAAGCGTGTTGAAGCATATCATGGTTTAACTTACTGCTCCCACCACAAAATATTTTGTCTTTTACTTATCGTTTCAGAAATCAGTACCATTAAAGCCTTAAACATAAAACTAATTCCAATCTGAAAAAGGTACAAAAAGGCACATAAAATCCCAGTGCTTCTGTACTGTAAAATTCAAGTGTAACTGAGCTCAGTGTTTTTCCAAACAGCATTGGATCACTGATATTCCCTCTGAGCCCGAATTGGTTTGCAGCCTATGCCAAAGCCTCCAGCAAGCACTGTGCTAGTAGACTACAAAGTTAAAGCCTAGCTTCTGTATGCTTTTTGGGAATATCAGTCGAAATTGTTTGTACTTGTCCCAAAACCAAGTTCACCCTGAAGTTCAGTCATCACCTCCACCATACATGTCAGCGAGTTTCTTGAACCTTGGCCCCCAGTCGTTCAGGTAATCATAGTCCTGCTCGCCACCACTACTTGAGGAATTAAGGGAGCTCAAGGACCCGGCCGTGGAGCCACTTCCTTCATAGTCGAAGACTAAGAGGGAGTCATATGGCGGAGCTGTGGGGTCATTGTCAGCAGCTTTAAGGCCCTGCAATTTGGTCAAAGACAAAGAAAGAAAGGATTAAGAGAGGGTTACAATTTGCACAACCACAAGTAGATCCTAGGGATATCATGGAATCAAGCGTCTGTTAGTAAACTTCCATTTGCAAGACCGCAACAGTTTCAACACATAGAAATTGGGGTTACCGCTGTTTGAAAGTTACGAGAAAAACCAACATGCCTTTCCTCTGCAAAAAAATAATCCCAAGGAATCTAGCTCAGGGTGGCCAGGTCATAAAACGGGAGTGGGTTACTTAGAGAACATGTGCCTGACAGACAGACGAAATGAGGAGCCAACTGACTGAAGTCAATTAGAGAGGATCTTAACATAATATATATAGCAGGACTGCCAGACTTAAAAATACATATCTCAATGAAATACAAACTACACATCTCAATGAAATGAAATTATACCACGGTAATTACTAAAAAAAGCAATTCATTCACTCAAGCAATAAACCTGGAACAACTACTACTCTTGCCAGGGTGTGTGATGAAGGCACTGTGTAGCGGTCCACTGGGCAAGACTAGTGTTGAATGTGTAATGTAGTGGTGGTTACATGAACTAATACAGAGGCTGATGAAATCATGTGATACATGGGTTCTAAGCAGAGCTAAGATCAGGAGATTCTGAAGAAGAACCTGTGGACGGCAAAGAGACGGGGCCTGCCGAGTGGATTCACTTCCGTACCAGCTCACAACCGAGTCCAACAGGCATCCCTTTAGCATGCAGCAAAGGATGAATTCAAACTACCGTGAAGAGCTAGAAATGCTTGGAGGAAGTAGCATTGTATTTGACCTTATTTTGAAGGCTATAAAAGGAAAACAAAGACAGGCCAGATGTAATTACTACATAAGGAAAGCTACTTACTAAATCATTTATGTATTAATGAAACAATATATGGAATTAATCGATGAACTGTGAACTGGTATTTATATACATATGTAGTCTAGTAACCTTGCAGTTCATATACATGCTAAAATAATCATGAATCAATTTCTGTACAGAATATAAATGTTGAGGAGGAGAGGGCTCGTGGTAATTTAAAAGAGCATGTACAGTTATTGTCTTAAAAATTTTAAAAATAGTAAATACTTACTATCTATATTTTTTACCTCTTACAAACAGATGCTTTAAAATATATAAGTAATCTGCAGTAATAGGTAATTATGTACTATACATTTTGGGGGCTTTCTGAGACAGGGTCTCACTATGTAGTTGAGACTGACTTGGAACTCACTGTGTAGCCCAGGAGGCTGGTGTCAAACTCACAGCGATCCTCCTGCCTCAGCCTCCTGATACAAAACTTTTAAGGAGTTAATATCAGGTCTTTTTTGGACTTTTCTCTACTATTTTCTCAATTCCATTCCAGTAGTCCAAGATGTACCAACATTGTTCTGCAAGCAACCATTCTCTTTGTGCAACTTTGCCTTTCAAATGTTGCTGGGCTTATTTGTGGTGGTCTCACTTATCCAAGAGGTACAGACAGTCTTCCTTGAGAAATCAGCCCTTCCAATCTACATGCATTTTATGAGACTATATTACTGCATGTGCATTTTGGAAATGAGCACATGTTCATCTGTTCTATCACGTTTACAGAGGAGAAGTAAAGAAACAGGGCATGCAAATTAAGGTCAGAGTAAGAATGTTATATGCAGCGCTTAAGAGACCAGATCTTAGTCAACACCTAAGCTATGCACAGTATTAGGTATGGGACTTCAGCATTCTCTCATCTGCCACTGTGATAAAAAATGGGATTATTATAAGACCAAATAGGGGAAAGGATTCAACATCTCACCACAATGTTTGATACACGGACAGCTCAGAGTATCAGTTATTAACAAATGATTTCAGTATAAAGAAAATCTTCCTGCTTTGAAATTTGAAAAAATAAAAAAGTGAATACATATTAAGAAATAAAATGTCAACTGTTAAGACTTTAAAAAAAGGAAAAAAGCACAGTCCTACCAGTTTTCCCTTCTCCAGTGTCTCTACACACAGTTCTAACCACCTAATTAAGCACCCCCTTTCCACGTCAGGTGACGCTATTTACATTTCAGACAAGGCTGTGTTCAGTAAAATCAAGCAAGTCTTCAGCAAAACTACTTCAATATATACAACAAATCATTTCAGATAAGATTTTTCCTTAATCGTAATTTTAGAATAAGTTATAAGGCAGTTCTGAGGCTGTGTCGCGCCACAACCTACAATTTCTCAGTATTCATAACTCCCTTTTGTGGTTAAGTGTGTTGCTATGCTTAGCGACCCGCTATCCTTTTTCCGTAGGGGTTTCAGACGCCCTCGCCACCACAAATGCCTCTCTGGAGTCAGTTTGCTCCCTCCGCCCCAGCGTCAGGCCTGGCTATGGGAACAGTGAAATGTGAGCCCAGCAGGGAACAGTCACTTTAAGACTCTCACGTCTTTCCCCGGCTCAGCCCCTTCTCTGCCAGGAGAGTGGCTGCCCCAGATGGGGATTTTACTTCCATCTGGACCTGGCCATGTAGGAGACATGCAGATCAGAAATTGAGCCGCTAACTGACTGCAGCTGACATGTAACTTGAATAAGAAGTAAACTTCTGCTTCTGTAAGCAAGCACTACTTGGGGGTTACTAGTTAGTGTAGCCTTAGCTAGCAAAAGCCAAAGAATACACTTTCGTTCATTCTGTTTGCATTTATTTATGGCACACTGACTGAGCAGCTATGATTGTCCCTTACTGCACTTAGGGGCAAAGTCGTGGCTTTAATAATGTAGACCTGGCAGGGGAGTTTATATTTGCACATTAGCATGCACCCCTTTCCATTTTCCTGCAGACTCTAGCAATTGCAAATGTAAGTAGTTAAGTGATTCCTTTTGTTCAGCACTGTCCTACTTGGGTCCACACAAGAACTGGACTCAAGTCGAATCTGAAGGAAAATGAAGAAGAATCAGGGGAAATTCCTGAGAAGGCAAATCGATCCCTAACGCTCTGTGTTCAAGTTACAAACTTCATCGCAATTCAATTTTTAGCTGAAAATTATACACAGAACATTGCCCAATCCTTACAGGGTGAGCAACAAATTGGAAATATTGGAAAGGTGAAGACTAACATTAGCTCTAAACAATCAGTGGGAGCTGGCTGTGGCGGCACTGGGCTAGAATCTCAGAACTCTGAGAGGCTGAGGCAGAGGATGGCAAGTCTGAAACCAGCCTGGGCAACTCAGCAACTTAGTGAGATTCCGTCACAAACAAAGAAACAGAAAATGTCAACAGCAGGGAGTCAAGTGTGATTGGATTTAGTGGAGGGGAAGTAACAACCTACAGTTTGGTTAACTGTGTCCGGAGAGTAAACTCTAGAAGTCATCTGGTTGTCACTGGTGAGTTAAAGGACCCAGGACCCTTTGACAGCCACCTAATTCGTCTTCTTAAAATAAATACAACACTGGAGATACTCTACTCCCATTTCCACTGTTTACCCTTAAACATATTCTTTGTCCTGGTAATTTTTTTTTAACTAAAAATGAAAACCTTCTGCATTGTTTTTTTGATAATGTTGTTAGTTCTTGAATCTCTATTTTCGTTCTTTATCTTCTAAAATAAAAAGAGGTTAAGGCCATAGAATGCATTGACTAGAGACCACTGTGCTATGCTAGAACACGGCATATTTTCTTGGTGCTTAATGTTTATGAAAAGGGCAAAACCACTGAACTTTTCAAGAATTCTTAGGCAAGCATCTTTCTAGGCAGGAGGTTAAATACTTCCACTTGGATAGCACTGATTCTGACCTGAGAATAAAACAGGATTCTTCAGAATTCTTGGTGATATTTTTGTGATTCTAAAATGATCCCGGTCAAGTCCCTAGAAACTGACAATGTCAAATGCAGTCAAGGGGGATGGCAGAGTAAATATGGGGGCCACGGGACCTTCTGCTACTCCCCAGTGAGGTCCATCACTCTTGGGTGTGGACACTTTTCACAAACTGACTGCATGCTCTGCTCTTGGTGTGACTCAACTTCGCCAAGTATACTCATCTCACCTTTCCTGGAGAGGTAGATCTTGAACTCCAGATAAATTTATCCAGACACTGTCTCTGTAGTTCGAGGCTCCTCCGCAGAGTGAAAGAGCTGTGGTGGAATTCTTGCAGAGCTGGTATTTATAGACCTCTGATCTTATGCTTTACAGATAGAGACATGCTTTTATGAGGATTATAAAAACCCACAGTCTTCACCGAGGAACACATGAAGGATACAAAAAGATCTACTGACCCTCCTGCATTCCGTCTTCCGTAGTTTTAGTGCCACTGCAGGTCCTCATTATAACCTGCCTGAGCCAGGGCAAAACCGCGCCATTTGTCTCCAGTACTATTCTGCTTCTTTCCTGCAAACTCTTATGGGTTCCTCATTCAGATGTTGACGCCATACCCTCTGGTCAAAAACGGAATGCTTTCCAAGACAAAAACCAATGTTTCCCAAAAAGGGGAGCACAGGTTCCCAGGGGCTTGTGAAGTGGTTTTAACTGGGGCATAGTTTAAAAATAATTCCCTTTACTTAAGAGACTTGTTTAAAATTGCTTAAAATTTTAAGTAAATAGAAGATACACGCAGAGATAGGTAAAACTATTAGGCTTTTCTCAAATGATGCGTAGGCAGCCTACAGGGTAAGATCAAACCTCTTCACATGGCTGTTCAGTGATCCTCATCAGTTCATCTACTTCTGTATTGACTACTGGAAAACCCTCCAACCAAAAGAGAATTTTACAACTTTCTCCTAAATCCGAAAATGTCACATTCTTGTGTACCACCTTGCTATTTGCAAATTTCTTTCTAATTGAAAGATGATTCATTCTGTTTGAAATGTTCCTTTTCATCGTTCTTATCTGATTAATATCCATCATCCATCCATCCCTCCATCCACTCATTAAAAATGTTACTTCTGCTGCATGGATTCTTTTTCCCCCAACCACGACTGGGAGTCATTCCTATGATAACTCTGATCTCTCAGTTTACGGTCGCACTTGGATTAGACTGTGACATATTTTCGGGCACAGGCGGTTTTGTTCCCAGATCTTTCTTCTCAACACTGCCCGATGTCTGGCAGCCATTCTTCAAGGGAACTTTCCAGTGCTGACTTGGGGTTAAGTTTTTGCTTCTCGGCATCTAGTCTATGTTCACACCTACTCTCTTCAGAAGAAGCCAGGACTAGGCTTAATATATATGTGATATAAAAGTATATCATGTTTACATTACAATGGCATTCAATTCTATGACTTGTTAAGGCCATTATCCTGCTTTGGGAGAATTTCATTTTTTGGAAGATTATAAATGTTTTATTTAAAAATTAGAGGATAGTAGGAAGTCTTTAATTCCTAGATGATAATTTACTTTAATAATCAGTAATATGACACTACTAATAATTAAGAGACCTTATCAGGTAATAGGTACTATACCAAATATTTGACATAAAAGACCTCATTAAGTTATTGCTGCAATCTTAAAAAAAGGCTCGATTACTACTGTCATTTTACAAATAAGAAAGTAGGAAATCCAAGAAATGAAACCCAAGGATCTTGACCTTGAACAAGGTAACAGATATTAGGTGAGGTTGATTTGAATTCAAATAAACACCCAACTCCTTTAAGAATGGAATAATTTAAAGACAAATTGCGTATAATTAATAGGAGAAAGGCAAACATTTTGAACTTTACTAGTTTGAGGCAAATTATTCTAGAAGAACCTTACATACACCTTTTAAATGGTGTAGATCAAAAGTCAGCCCTTTAAATGAAGAATGTACTTGGTTTTTATTCTTCAGAGATAAGCAAATACACAGGATTAGTAAAGTTGTTGGAGGTATCCTGATATTTACTCTCAGCTGAGATTAAAGCAATTTGCTTCAACTTCTCCCCCTCTGAAGGTCATGTTTGAAAACTCCAAATAGAATGAAATTTTGCAACTGAAATTCAAAAGCATGTGACTTGTTTTACTCTACCTACCTGACTGGAAATAAGTTATCATTTTGTGATTCAAAGCAACATCCACTCACTATTTAAATAAACAAACCAGAAAGTGTTCTCATGTGCTTTCCTACTCTGTACATCCATAAAAGCACTCCAATTATAATCACCACTATATTATCTTTCCTTTGGAACATTCAGTACTCTGCTAAATCAAATAAGACCTGGGGATAAATAAATCTGGGTGCATTTTCAATGCTTTTACAAAATATGCTTGGGTTCTTTGTAGGTGCCTTTAATTGTGTAAAAACTTTACCTGCATTTATCTTTTTCTGTCAAGTTAATGACAGAAACTGAACAAGTCGTAATGGGCTCCCCCATGGAAGAGTGACAGAGTGCTTTGGAGAGTTATGACAGTTTTCATCTCTCTGAATTCACAGAGACATCGCAGGTGGGAGAGGAATGCTACTGATGGCACCTAACCCATACTCTGGTGGCCAATCCTTCCTGGCTCAGGACAAGCTTCACAAGGAAACTAACTTTTATTTAGCAAAGGGAGACAGTCAGTTTGAGACAGCTCTCTGCCTCAAACAGCTCAGAGTCAGAAGCTGAGAATGTGAACAGCAAGCAGATTGTCTATTGCAGCCCTACAAGATGAAGGCTGGGGAAGAAGCTGAAAGGAAGCCGCAAAGCCAAGTGAGAATTGGACACCGCAGGCCTCCTGTGCTTAGCTAATACTGTACGGCCGCTCCTTAACTTAGGATGGGGCAACCTCCTGATAAACCCATTGTAAGCTGAAAGTATCCCAAGTCACAAATTCATTGAATACACTAAGTGGCTGAATATTGTAGCCTAGTGACACAGTGCAACCTACATAATTGGCTGTTTTCTCTGTAACTGCATGCTACGGCTCTTGCTACCAGCATGCAAGAGTATGGTACTGCATGCGGCTATCTTGGGAAAGGAACCAAGCTCAAACTTTAAAGGATACCTTCTACTGCATACTGTCAATTTTTGCATCATTGTAAGTTTAAAAGCTGTAAGTAAGACCATGACAAGTCTAGGATCTTCTGCACAAAACTTGTGCTGGTAGCAAAGTATGGAACACACAAAAAGAGAAGCTAAGTCTAATTTACTTTTTAGCCACACATTACTGGTTCGATTATGTTGTATACAGAGGACACTCAATAGTGATTTGCTGAATCGATGATCCTAAGCCAAGCTCAAAATGAGTCATTTTTAAAAACATGCACACAACCCTCTAATTAAAAACTGAATATGATCTAGAAGTTAATTTGCAGTCAATCGTTTGGAAGAAAGTATGTCATACAGCCAATCACATAGGTTTGTTCTGAACATTTCTAACCTATATCTAACCTAACCACTGTTTCCAGAGAAAGGAAATTTCAAATGGTAAATTCTACTCTGCATCTCATTCCTGTGGTATTCGAAAGGCTGGGTAACTGAACGTTATTAACTAGATGCTTTTTTGCTCTTTTTTATCTACTGAAGAAAAAGCAGTCACTGCAAAATAAATCAATGCACACACATAGATACACACCCAGAAAGCACACACTCAAAACAAAAACACAGAAAAACCAATATCCTTGTTTGCTTAATGTAATCAGTACTCGCAGAATGAAAGGCTCCAGACTTGGTCTCTGCTGAATCTAAATCAAGTGCAAATTTGGTGGTACCCATCAAAGCTTTATGGCCTACACACCTGCTACAGCACTTAAATCTCTGCCATCAACAAACTCTTGGCAATATACTGGGTGCTCAGGATATAAAAACATGAACAAGAAATAGTCCTTGCCCTGGAGAGAACTCACATGTTCCTAGAAACACTGACAACTACACCCCAGTTGATGAGGGTTATGGCAGAGGAGGTGTCCTCAGAGGTGTCAAAGAGCGCTTCCCACAGAAGGGGATGTGTGTGCAAGTCCTCCAGCTAAGGGCGAGTGAGTCCTGCAGATCAAGACAGTATGGGCTTTGCAAAAGTTACTGCCTGTTTTAAAAGGGAGATGATTTGGGGCAACTGCAAATAGCTTGTTAGGGTTACAGCAGAAGAAGGGAGTGTAGGAAAGGAGAACAGAGGCAGGAATAAGATTATGAACAGCCTTATACATTGTTGAGTGCTTGATTTTTATCACCAAGAAGAATATCAGAGATGAGATTCAAGCCTATGGAATACAGACACTGTAGGGGAAGGCAGAGGCATCCAGTAAGTATTTGCTGAATTATACTCAATTGTACAGTTCCTATAGTCATTAGATCTGCTATATCTTGAAACCAAAGAACTACAGAATAAGCCAACAACAATTTCTTATAATGGTGAACACCAAATCAGAATTAAAATCATCAAGTACTCTTACATACACTAAAAAAATCTAGTGCTATACATAAATACCTTAAATAAAGAGACAGGAAAGTCACGGCACATTTTTGTAGGAAAAAAAACAGAATCATTGGCATTCTGTTGTTTTTTTATGTGCTATCTGTTTTTAATTGATGTTTGCTACAAATTAACCTATTATCTGCTTGACAAAAGTGAATACGTATGTTCACAAAGTAACCTATCGTTTAGTAATAGACAGTAATGGATAGTTAGAAAGGTAGATAAATACACCCATTTGTTTTAAAACATTTTCTACACACTAGGAGTGTATCTCAAAACCCAAGGTAGACTGATGACATTTGCATATTTTACAACTATTTCAAGGAAGCCCAGAAAAGAGAGGTTTATCAGTACCTGACCGCAGGTCATATTAAACAGGTGTATCCCATTTGGGTAATGCACTGGGACCAATTCTGACCACGGAGAGACTGAGGACATGGCCAGAGAACACAACTCCTACTAAATGCTCACAGTCAGTATGTGGTACTGCCTTACACTAACAATAAAAATTCAGAAAGAGAATTACAGTGAAACCACAGCCATTATAAAAAGCAGTATAAATCATGATATGTAGCAGAACTCTTTGTCAGTAATGAAATAAAAGGATGCCATAATAGTTTTTTTGACAGTGAAAATCATATCTGTTATATTCAACAGAGAATTAGTTCTCTTACAGATGCTCTTAAAACTCCTCAACTAGGCAAGTATTTAAATCACTTACATAATATTTAGTTTAGCTAATCTTTCAACTAATCTCCTTTGATGGAGTCCTTGGGTAGGCACTGAATTCTCCCCATATGTGAAATTTAAAAGATACAGCATGAGAGGAAAAATAAAAGAAATTATTATTGTTACATTTATTTATCAGCGCTAATAAATGAAATCAGATTGCATTATAATATTGTTAGTCTACTTATTACTTGTCCAGGAGGAAAAATCCCTCTTGTAGAAAGTGTGACTAATACTGATAATATATGGTGAATGCCACTTTACAAATGCAGAAATTAACTGACTGATCTCTTTTGAGTTGATCAAAGCAATTAAATATGTTCTGTAACTGAAGGTGTATTTACCTTCAACATGAGGATGCACTTAAGGAAAGAAGTTCATTTTAATGAACTGCAATAGCTGTATTTCAAGTACCTTGTGGGCCCCACAGACTCTAAATTTCAACACAAAATAAATGTTTTCTAAAGAAAGCGAGCTTCTCTGTGTACCTCATTAATGAAGTCCCCGATGTCCCCAGGGTGTGGGGCTGCAGATCGAACTGGATACTGCGGCTCAGCGTGAATGGGTCTCTCATCCAGCCGCCGGATTCCTACGGGCTTGATTGCGTCAGGTTCCACAGTATCAGGCTGCTGGAGCTGGCTCAAGTCATAGTCCTACAAAAGACACAATCGAAAATTCATGGTTGATGGGCACGAAGAAGGGAAATTACAACCTTTGTTTTTAAACACATACTTAGCATGCACAGAAATGAGTGAAATTTAACATAATGGAAAAGTTGCCACTAGGAGTTTTTCATGTTATGATTAAATATTTCTTTCACACAGCTCTGTCTTCTGTGTTTTCCATTTCTACAGTCTGTGCTCCATCTGCTTTAAACTGTTCCTCATCAGCTCCCAATGGGAAATAGCAATGTGACGAGGTCTCACTACAAAATGACTAAAAATCTGACAAGAACATACAGTTGTACCACAGAAGCAAAGGAACTCTCTTAGTGTCTTCAACATTTAAAAAAAAAAAAAAAAAGTGATGAGTTTTTTCCCCTTTCCCTAAGAAAGGCAGTGGTGCACTGAGGTTTCAGTCATCCTGAATCCCTCTTCTCTTCTGAGGTCAAAACCTGGGTTCTAAAACCATGGGCTTTGGATCCACTTTGACCTGTGGCCCATTTTCCCTTCAGAATTGCTTTTACATTTTCAGAGAGTTACTCAAAATACTGATAAAGAGGAAAATGCTGCAGGGACTATATGTGATCCACAAAACCAAAAAACCTCTTCCTTTCTGACTCTTCACAGAGCAAGTTTTTAAACCTCTGGCCTAGGGCTACTGGGCCAGGGAAACTGTGGATACCCTATCGCACCTCTGTGAGCTGTCTTAAGAGAAACAGCCTGTCCACTTGCAGAGAAGTAGAGGAGAACTTGGAAGAAGGAGGCTCTGAGCACAGGCTTGGGCGCTGGAAACTATTTTTAGCTATGGCATTAGCTGGACAGTAATGTGTACAGAAACTGCTTGTAAGGTGGAAATGAATCAAAATTTTATGTTTGGGCCAATACTTTGTACTTTTCAAATCTCTTAAATGCTAGTGTTATAAACTGTCATGTTCCCATCTTAAAAAAAAAATGCTCCAATTCAACTTTGACATTTACCAAAAGTACTGATTTTTCTTCTTGGTTCAGGCCGCATCACTGCCTCAACTCTGCTTAAAACCTTTTATAGCATCCCCACGGTGATTTTGATTTATTCAACACTTGAACATTATCATGTTTGACAGTGTTTTAGGCATTCTACATGTGTCTGCTCATTTCATCTCCTCAGTGCATTTTTTTCACCACCCCCACTTTAGAGAGATAAGGGCAACCCAAGAAACTTGCTCATGGACCCGGATCCATTAAGTTGCAGAAGCAGACGCTGTTTCCAAATGTTCTGGAGGTCACAGTCTGGCTCTTTTTACATGCGTCTATGACAGGAAGTCAAGTCTGGGATACAAGACTGGATTTAGAGAATAATGAGATGCACAAGTACACAGAGGAGCATGGATGCAAAGAATGTTGTACGAATGACTAAGATGATGAAGAAGAGAAAGGCTACTAAACTTCATGCCCATGGTGTGCCAGGCACTCTCCCAGGGTCTTCTCTTGGTAAGGGTTTTCTTACTGTCAGTACTTTCTAGAAAATCTGCAAAGAATGCTCTATTATCATCTTTTTGGGCAAAGAAATGGATGGGGGGGGGACCTAATACCTGTCCCGAAGTCACAGAGATGGAAAATAATTAGGATGGAAATCAAAGTCAGGCGCGTGTCTAAACCCGATGACTGGAAATCCAACGCCACATTCACAGACAGGAGCCCCCACCCCCCACCCCCGTATCTTCTTGCGGAGAGCTTCATCTAGGATACAAGCTGAGGGTGAGGCAAGAAGGTGAGAGGGACTGGTCAGAGTGGATGGAAATGGAGTACACCTCACAGTATGAATATTCACGGGGAAAAGCGGCATTAGGTTTGAACCTGGAGCCACACAAAGCCTGAAGAGAGGAGAACACAGCTAATGGAGAACTCCCTGCATGAGCAGAAGGCAGGACTGAGTGTTCCACACGAAACCTGACCGAAGACACCTTGACCCTGCCCAAATGTGTGCTCCATTTTCCGTTTTATAGAATTTATAATTACTAGTTGTATTTTAAAGTACCAGCCCACAATGATACAACATGCAAAAAATCTTGAAACGTTAGCCGGCCATGAAACATAACAGAGGATCTATTTATAGAATTTTGAATGCTTTCACACCAAGCATGGTTTTTCTGAGCCACACTGAATTCCTAAATACCAAGCACAGGGTGGTGGGGTAAACTGTGGAAAATGTGTATTCTAACGATTACCAAAGCTGTACCTAGAAAGAGAAAAAAATAGGTGGCAAGTTTATTGATGACAGTTAATAAATATTTCTATCCTGAGGGTGAAAAATGCTTTCTTAAATGTCTGAATTACACAAAACTGGGTAGCTGAATCATACACTTGAAGACTTTTTTTCTGGTGATATATTACGTGGCAGTTCAATCATAAGAATACAGAGGCATTTCTTTTATACAACCAGAGATGGAAGAAGCACAGCACATGGGCTTTGCTCACACTGACGTGCACCTGCAAAGAACCCCTGTCCCCCGACTTCTTATACAACTCCTACTGTAGCCACAAGTTGTAAACACAAATGCAATTTGATTGCCCAGCAATGTTTCAAAAATACTCAAGTCACCAACATTTAGACATAGGCACATCTCCTCTGAAAACAGGATGATTTGGCATAAAAGAGCTTAACAATTACTTGCAGTTGACAGCCGACAGTCCCTTTGGACAAAGTGACACCTCCTGGCCTGTTTTACTTACTAATGAATATGTAACATACTTACAGAAGAGCACCATAATTTGCAGGTTTTTATTTTTCTCTTGGTAAGTTCTTTCTACTACTGTAAGAAGCAAAAAGTAGGAACAGTCCTAAGACTTCTTCGGTCACACTCAGTCCTTTAATGTGTCAGGCCCACAGAAAGCGTCATTCAAAATAAGTGTTGGGTAGAATTCCAGTGATGTACTCCAGGGTATCAGATGCAAGAAACGTGTCTTGGATGGCACAGGACAGCAGTAATTCATGTTGCGGAGGGACAGGCAGAACCCTGGCCTCATCCTTGAGAATCACTGTTAAATTAGTCCCCCATTGGAGAGAAACCTGTTAAGCTGCTCAGTTACAATGGCATCAAAAAAGACTTAGAAAGTCACTGATTTACCGGAAGTTAGCAGCAGTAACAACACCTGCCTTATTGTTTCTCTGATGGTGTTCCCTGCAAATACAAAATACAACTCTGACAGCAGTGGGAGCATGGGGAGGCCCCTCTGGTCACAGGGATGGGCTTTCCTACTGATGGCTGTGTGAAATGGCAAAAGTCCTGATGTGGGATCCAATTCTAGACCTTTAAATAAAGGCTCACCCTCTGGGAATTTCCTAAATTATACATCTTTACAATTCCACAATGCCTTGCCTAAGAACACAAATTACAACATGTAAGCGGAGAATTATCATGAGAATTACAGAGACCAAGAATGTTCTCAAGGTCTTTGAGTTCGTGGCCCTACTTCTGAAGAGTATAGACAATCCAAAAAGAAACCTCCTGCACTGATTCCTAAAATTCTGGCAAAAGAATGAATCTGAAAATTATTCCATGATTGTCCAGTCACAGTGCTAACTTGCCAAAGAAATTTAATTTTCAAATCAAAGTCAAAGCAAATCTTCTTTTAACTAATTTTTGGCATGTGTTAACTGACACCTATCATTGCCATTGATGTAGGGGTTTTATGATGATAACCTTCTAAGGAACTCAAACTTTTCTCTATGTTTTAATTTAATACCAGGAGTTAATAAGAAGTTAATAAGCAGATAATGCTCTGGTTTGGGCTTTTCTTATTAAATTTCACTTCTTGCAATTATTTATAATTGGTTCAGAAAATAATAGCAAATATCTAAGTTAAGGTATTATGTTGTGATACAAAATAAAACTAAAATAGAATAAAATAAAATACAGTATCAGAATGACTTGGAATTCTAGAATCCCAGGCAAACATTTCAGGAAACAACGTTGCAGGTAGGATCTACAGAAACACAGACTATTTCAGAAAGTGATGAAAACATTCATTTATCATTCTACAAAGATTCAAAGAGTTCCTACTGGGTGCCAAATGCCATTTTCAACTGTGAGAGGGAGAAAGAAGGAAATCAACCTTTATCCCATCATCTGTGAAGAATCACATTAGATGATGTGTTTTCATGTGGTGTCTCGTATAATCCATACAATACCCCTCCCAAGTGGAGTCAACTCCTTTTCCCACTCTGTTGACCTCACGGCTCAGAGAGGTTAATGATTTGACCAAGGTCACAGACTCGGTTAAGCAGTGCCAAATGATAAAACTAAGACCACCAGAGCAAGGGAAATAAATGTACCATATAGTGTACAAAATAAATAAATGCACCTAAGAGTTCTACTAATGGGCAAACATCGGGGAGTTTTAAGTGCTGGAAAGGAAAATTCAAGGTGGTGATGCTACTTACTAGAATCTAATACTACAGTGTCGAATACTGGAGTCTATCTTGTAGGAAAGGCTCAGCTCGGGTCTGTGCACAGTTGGCTAAAACAAGACTCACCGTTGTTTAGGCAGCAAGGTGTCTTCTCTCAGGTGCAACATGGAGGAAGTGGTTGGGCCCTCAAAGGTCATGGTCATTTATCAGCCTCCACTGATCAGAACCACTGATGAAATGCTGTTCAGCTCTCATAGGCCAATACTTTTATAATAGCAAAGGGAAAGCCTCTTGAAATTCTCATATAAATAGAGTATTTTTAATGTTTTAAGGCTTACATGGCTATAGAAAATAAAAGTACTAACACTAAAGTAAATCGGCAAAAGTCTCCAGAAAATAAACAGCTGGAAAAAAGCCAGCTGTGGCAAGGGTTAGAAACTCTTCAGACAGACACAAAAAGGAATGGAAGGTGGAAGAGAAAAACGTTATTATCTTACCTTCTCTAGCTCCTGGCGTTACAATAATTGAATGGAATAGTGATAAAGTGTCAACACACTACCATACAACTGTTGACAAGTAAGTCAAAAACGCTCACAAGCTT